GAGATTATCTGTTGAACTGGATTGAACTTATTAGGTAAGTTTACTTTTCTTTTATAGAGATTAAAGATTTTATTCTTAAAATGCTCAAAAACAGACATAACGGGTGGTCCAGAATAAATTATACTATTAGCATTTCTGATATTTCTCCTCTTTTTGTCAATGAAAAAAGGAAAGCTTTTTTTTTATCAAAAAGAAGCGCTTTAAATTCTGCACAACATAGTATATTTCATTTAATGAATATAGTTTTCTCCATTTTTTTTATTATACGTTATCTTATAGTAAAATCCAGTATATAATTTAAAATTGTTTTTTTGTTAGCTTTTGCTACGGAACGTTTTATTTCTTCAATCAACGTTGCTTTTGTTATTATTCGATTCCAATTCATACATTGACCCAACTCGTTCCATAAACTGTAATCCAAGGGGCATAAGTCAAGTGAATTGGGTGGCCAACGCTCCAGTCAGAAAAATTCTCGGCACACCATTCTTGAGTGAAGCGATGGGTGTGAGGTCTAGCACCATTCTGTTGATAAGTCCAATCGCTCCCTAGCATTCTATTACCACATTCGAGAGCTATTGGAAGCACTTCATTGATGTAAACCTCTACATCCATCGTTCCATTTTCCAAAATGACTGGTGTAGTTAGACCTTCAGCACATGCGCCTAACCACATCATCGCTTTTCCAGGATATTTGGTCTTCTCATGAAGGCCACCTTTTCTATCAGCTTCTTCTCTGCTGACAGCCCACACTCGATTGTTTTGTGAACTGTATATGTGTTACAGTCATATATTTATTCCTTGACTCATCGACGTTTGTATACTCATTCCCTGGCACATATTTCCCCTATATATACTCCTCTTTCTTCAATAATAAAGTTAGTTCCATCGTTATGGTGCTCATTCGTTATTAACATCAAGAAGGCACAGGGATCCCTAACAATATGCCGTCAAGGTCAAAGTACTTTTCATCTGTAAAAAGCCATTTTTTAGTGCCGTCTTCGCTGTAGTTATTTAACACCCAATTAGCAAAGTTAATCCTCCTAGTTTTTTGAAGATTAGTTAGCTTAGGTTGTTTTGTCTTTTTGCACGGCTTACACCCAAGATCTTCTCGGAGTGTTCGCTGTACACTCGTTCTAGAAATTTTCACATCTTTAGCTAATTTTCGTGTAGGCACTCGTTTCTTTTGATTTAGACGGTTTTTAACCTTCACAATAGCGGTATTTGTACGGACCGTGCGTGGACAGCCTGGAGGAGACGACAGCGTGATAGAACCAGTAGTGTTGATCATTTTTATCCACAATTTAATTGTGAGTAATGAAACAGCCCCGGCTAAATCTCGAAAAATTTTTGTCGGACCATCACCATTTTCATATTTAGTTTTTACAACTTTTTGTATATCTTTACTTTTCATATTTTTTAAAATGAAAGCGACACACTTTTCAGTTTTAACCATGTACAGTTTTGTAGAGAATTTCAAGCGCCATCTTTTAGTTTAAAAAGATGTCCCGATCTAATGGATAATGGATGCGTTATATTCAAAATGCGCATGTTATAATTTATTCTGGGCCACCCGTTACATCATGCGAATTCCAGTTATCTGGTAAAGGACGAGGAACGTTTTGGGGTAATTTCGGTCCAATTCGAGAAAGACATCGGCCCAGTCTGAAAGTTTCCCAAACTGCAGAGCGCATTTTTCTATATCATTTCTACAAGTTTCAGCTTGGTCCGTTGTGCATCAGGGCAATTGTGGCTTTGCTCNCGCAGTTTTAGTGCACTCAATCGACGTAACTTTTTGCGTAGATTCCGAACATGAAGTTTACGTTTCAATTATGTTGTGTTTTGGTCGAGAAAATCGCGAATTACCATCTCAATTTCAGTGCATTCGGTGCTGAAAAGCAGTAGGAAAGCTTTTTTGGTCGTGATTTAACCCTCATCTGTGAGCTTTTTGAATACTCTATCAATGGTAAAAAAATGGCTCCGGGTCTCAATAAAATGAGGTAACAACAGTTAATCAGTGTCAAGCTAGCACGATGAAACAGATATTCAACTATAAGTCTTCTCAGAAGTATTGCCGGCCCATAAAAACCAGACCATTCGATCCAGAATTAAATTCTGGATCGGATGGTGATACTTTTATTCCCCAGCAATACTTAGGAAG